CCATACAGCCCGAAAAAACCTACAACAACCCAGTGATTCCGGCCATGAAAGCCTTCGACAATACATTAAATATAAATTAATCTCCATAATAATAACAATAAAATATAATAATAAACTATTGAATAATAGAGAAGACAATTATGTTGGGGAAAGTGGAAGGCAAAAGGAAGAGGGGCCGACCAAGGGCAAGATGGATGGATGGCATCCTTGAAGTGACTGGACTGACCTTGAAGGAGCTGGGGGTGGTGACGGCCGACAGGGAGTTCTGGCGTGGGCTGGTCCATGAGGTCACGAAGAGTCGGAGACGACTGAACGAATGAACAACATTGAATAATAGTAATAAATATCATAATGTAATAAAATGTAATAATGTATATATATGTGTGTGTGTGTATATATATATGTAATATAATATGAAAAATATAAAACTTAAATTAATGGCACTGTTATTAGAGGTTAACCAAATGGGTGCTCTATGAAACGCCAATTTGGTTAACCCTTAATAACAGTGCCATTAACCATTATTATTATCTGGAAGGCAATAATAATGTAAACTATAATAACTGTTAGAGAACGATAATCATAATAAATTAGTGAATAATAATAGAGGGTAATATTAATAATAATAATAATAATAAATGAAAAATAATAAAGCAATGATTATTTAGGAGAAGAATATCCTGTTTTATTTTTATTTGTATATTTAAATTAAATAGCAAGAGAAGCGGATATTCACCAATTTCCACCGCCAGCTCTTTTGCTGGATGGACAAATGGATCGACTTGACGATGGAAGATATTCGGAGGATGGAGGACGAGACCCAGAGGGAACTCGAAGCGGTGAATCATACATCATTTATTTTATATATATTATATAATATATATATGTGCCATTTTTGATTAAATTCTATTTTTCTTAATTACCATAAATTCTATTTTTTCTTCATTCTATTCAATTTCTTCCTCAGTTAAATTATAAAATATTTGTTTTAACTTCTATTTTTCCTCAATATTCTATTAAATTCTAATTCTTGCTTAATCTCTTTTTTATTTAATTCTAATTTTCTCAATTAAATTCTCATATTTTTTCTTGATTAAATTCTATGTTTTCCTTAAAGAGCATGAGGTCTAGCTCTTTTTTCTCTTCCTGTTTCTCTTCTAATATTTTTTTTAATTAAATTCTAATATTTTTCCTGATTTAATTCTGATCCTTTTCTTGGTTAAATTCTATGTTTTCCTTAAAGACCATCAGGCCTATCTCTTCTTTCTCTTCCTGATTCTCATCTATTGTAATATTTTTCTAATATTATTCCTGACTTAATTTTTATATTTTTCCCAGTTAAATTCTACGTTTTCCTCAATGGCTCTCAGGTCATCTATCTCTTATTTCTCTTAACATTTCTCTTCCATTCTGATATTTCTCGATTAAATTCTAATACATTTCCTGATTAAATTTTAAGTTTTCCTCAAAGGTTGTCAAAGACTACCAGGTCATCTATCTCTTCTTTCTAATATTCTTTTAATTAAATTCTGTAATTTTTCCTGATTAGATTCTATGTTTTCCTCAAAGACTATCAGGTCATCTATCTCTTCTTTCTAATATTTTTCCTGATTAAATTATAATCTTTCTCCTGGTGGAATTCTTCGTTTTCCTTAAAGACCATCAGTTCTATCTCTTCTTTCTCTTTTTGTTTCTCTTCTCTTCTAATCCTTTTCTTCCTTAAATTCTAAAACTTATCTCAACTAAATTCTAATCTTTTTCCTCATTCCTTTTCTTGATTAAATTCTATGTTATCCTTCTTTCTAATATTTTAACTAATTAAATTCCAATATTTTTCTTGATTAAATGCTAATATTAAAATTTTAATTTTTATCCCGATTAAAATTTAATATTTTCCCTGATTAAATTCTACATTTTCCTTAAAGGCTGTTGTGTCATCTATCCATTTTTTAAAAAAATATTTTTCCTGATTAAATTATACGTTTTCCTCAAAGGTCGTCACGTCATCTATCTCTCCTTTGTAATATATATTTTTAATTAAATTCTAATATTTTTTCCTGATTACATTCTACATTTTCCTCAAAGGCCATTGGGTCATCTGTCTCATTTATCAATCTTATCTTTCTTCATCCATTTATCTATCTATTCATTCATCTATCTATTTGTTCATCTATCAATCCATTCTCCATTTATCTATCAATTTTATCTAGTTTAATATGATATGCTTTCTAGTTTAATATCACATATTTTAATGTAATATTAATATAATATAAACAATATATTTTAACATTATATATACACACACGCACAATATAACAATATAATTTAATATATAAACAATATTCTAATATTTTTCTTGATTAAATTCTACATTTTCCTTAAAGACTCTCAGGTCATCTATCTCTTCTTTCTCTTCTTGTTTTTCTTCCATTTTACTATTTTACCTTGAATTCTGATATTTTTCTGGATTAAATTCTACATTTTCCTCAAAGACTATAAGGTCATCTATCTCTTCTTTCTCTTCTTGTTTCTCTTCCATTTTACTATTTTACCTTGAATTCTGATATTTTTCTGGATTAAATTCTACATTTTCCTAAAAGACTATCAGGTCATCTATCTCTTCTTTCTAATATCTTTCCTCATTAAATTCTACGTTTTCCTCAAAGGGTATCTATCTATTTATCTATCTATCCATTTTATCTAGTTTAGTATATATATTCTAGTTTAATACCATATATTTTAATATAATACAATAATATATCAATATAATATAGATAATATAATATTACAGTATTATAATGTAATATATTCTAACATTTTTCCTGATTAAATTCTATGTTTTTCTCAAAGACTATCAGGTCATCTATCTCTTCTTTCTAATATTTTTCCTCATTAAATTCTACATTTTCCTTAAAGACCATCAGGTCATCTATCTCTTCTTTCTCGTCTTGTTGCTCTTCCATTCTAAAAATTTATATTAAATTCTAATATTTTCCTGATTAAATTCTATATTTTCCGCAAAGACTATCAGGTCATCTATCTCGTCTTTCTAATACTCTTCCTGATTAAATTCTAATATTTTTCCCATTAAATTCTGCATTTTCCACAAAGGCCGTCAGGTCCTTCTTCCTTCCTTCCTCTTTTGACACATGTCCTTCATTCCGCGCGTTCTAGATCCGCCGGAAGGGTCCAGTCCGAGGGACTTCCGCGAATGATGTCTAAAGAAGGAAAACCTTCATAGATCCTTTGCAAAACCCCAGACAGAGTCCTCTGTATGTTGATTTAAATAATAATAATTTAATTATTTTTCATTATATTTTATTTTTTATTCTTTGTTAGTATTCATTTCATTTTATTGGTTATTTATCCTTTGATTTTATTATAATATATTCATTTGAGTGTTTTTTACATTCTTATTTTGCTCTTTATTTGTTATTTTTCCTTCTATTTTTTATTTTATTTGTTATTATCATGTCACCTTTATTTTATTATATTAATTATTTTTCAATATTTTCCAAAAATAACAAGAAAATTAATGACATAAATTTCAAAAAAATAACAAAATTAAGGAAAATATAAACTAATTTTATTTTTTTATCTTTGTTATTTTTCTTATTTAATCCTTTATTTTATTTGTAATTTCCCCCCGTATTTCATTATATTTGGTATTTTTGTTATTTTCCCATTCATTTTATTTATTTCCCAAGTATTTTGTTATTTATTCTTTTTTTGTTGTTTTTCCTCTTTGTTATATATGTTATATATGTTTTCCCTATATTTTATTTGGGTTTTTTTGTTTTTCCCATTTATTTTATTATATTTCTTATTTTCTCTTTTATTTTATTGGTTATTTTCTGTTACGTTTCCTCTTTATTTTGTTATATTTAATTTGTTTCCCCTCTTCATTTTATCTATTTAATTTTTTCTTATTTTTTCCCAACATCTAAGTCCTTTCTATTATTTATTCCCCCCCCCCCAATTTTTCCAGTTATATTTGCGAAGACAATTTATTTTATTATTTGTTATTTTTCCCATTTATTTCCTGCTTATTTTTGTCTGATTCCCTCCCCCCATTTTCTTTCTGTTCTATTAATTAATTAATATTATATCAATTCATTCATATTATATTAATCAATTTCCTTTTAATTTCTTCCTTCTTCTCAGCTGCGGAATCAGGGGGAAGTGCGGGGGACGAGCGCCGCCAATGACGAGTGACTTCCTGTTTCCTGCTAAGGGACTTCCTTTTTTGAAAGAAGGCGGGACTAAGGAAGTTCCTCCCCTTTTTTCCCAAGAAAGGAAAAAAGACTCTTTTGACAAAGAAGAAGAAGAAATGATGGACCAATTTGTTGTCCCCTTCAGTGGTTGTTTATGGTTCTATCTAATATATTTCCCAATTTAATTCCCAAATTTAATTCTAATTTCTTTCCCAATTTCATCCACAAATTTAATTCTAATTTATTTCTCAATTTCATTCTCAAATCCTAAATTCCCAAATTTAATTCTAATTTAATTTACAAATTTAATTCCCTATTTTAATTCTAATTGAATTCCCAAATTTCATTCTAATTTATTTCCTAATTTCATTTCCAAATTTAATTCTGATAGATTTCCCAGTTTTATTCCCCAAATAAATTAGAATTAAATTTTGGAATTCAATTGAGAAATAAATTAGAATTAAATTTGGGGATTAAAATTGCAGTTATGCCTCAAATTAAATTGGGAATTCAGTAGTAATAATTCTTTTTGAATTAAATTTAGGATGCAAATAGGAATTATATTTTGAATTAAGTTTTAAAATAAATTTAATACCCAATTAAATTTGGATTAAGTTAAGAATTAAATTAATTTCTTGAATTCAATGTTGGGATTAATTTCAGGGAAAAAAAGGTTGGGGTTAAATTAAATATTGAATTACATTTGGGAATAAAATTGAAATTATATTCCAAACTAAAATTGGATGAAATTAAGAATTAAATTGAGGATTTATTTTCTAATTGAATTTCAGGATTAAATTGGGGAAAAAAGTCGTAAACAAATTTTGGGATTAAATTGGGAAATTAAATTAAATTTTTGAATTAAATTTGGGTGCAAAATTGGAATTCCACATTAAAATTGGATTAAATTACACATTACTTTTAGGATTAAATTGGAATTAATTTTCGAATTAAAGTGGCATTAAATTGGGAAATATATTTGGGAATAAATTATATTTCAAATTAAATTTGGAGTAATATTTTTTTTTCATTTACAGTTCTACCTTAAAAATGGAATTAAATTTGGAATTTATTACAGAATTAAATGGGGAAAATATTATTGAAATTATTATTTAAAGATATTTTAAAAAAATCAGAATTAATTGGGGGGAAAAGAGTCATTAGCCATCTTTGCAATTATTGTTATTAATGTTAATGATGAAGATAATAAGGATCGAATGTCGAATTTTCGGGGAGAAAGGGACTGATTTACATCGAAATTATTCTGAAATTATATTGTTCACTGAATAAACTTGTATATATTCCAGCATTGTTTGTTTTCTATTGGGAAGCAATGCTATACATATAATAAAAATGAAAATACATGTGTGTGCATGTGGCTGGGGTGCCCATGCAGGGGACACCAATGGCCCTCCCTTCAATTACATTGCAGGTTATAGTGAGGGACCATTTCATCCTTGATTTCATGTGTTTCCTCCACCACAGGCATCCCAGTGTTCCTTACTCTCTCCATTGGTGTGGAATTTGCGTGACATTGACCACTGCCTCTCCCTTAACCCTTTCCTATTCTTTTCAATGGCCCACAGCAAACAGAGGAATTGATCAGCAACTGAACATACTAGAGGTTTGAGTATTGGGATGTATAGTTCACCTGCAACCGAACTCCACCAAAGATGGAATTGGACCAAACTTGGCACACAGAGCCCGCATGACCAACAAAAAATCCTGGAGGTCTTTGGAGGGATTTAAAAAGGTCTCCCTCAACTCCACGGTGCTGAACAACTTCAGACCAATCTCCAACCTCCCTTTCTTGGGCAAGGTGCTGGAGCGGGTGGTCGCCTCCTGGCTCCAGGGCTTTCTAGATGACAACAACTACCTAGATCAGTCACAGTCTGGTTTCAGGCCTGGACACGGCACCGAGACGGCCTTGGTCGCCTTGGTGGATGACCTCCGTAGAGAGCTGGACAGGGGGAGTGTGACTCTGTTGGTTCTCTTGGACATCTCAGCGGCTTTCGATACCATCGATCATGGTATCCTTCTGGGTCGACTCTCTGGGATGGGTCTCGGCACGGTTTTGTCGTGGCTCCAGTCCTTCCTGGATGGTCGATCCCAGGTGGTGAAACTGGGAGACGCCTGCTCGGACCCTTGGCCTTTGACCTGTGGAGTCCCGCAAGGCTCTATTCTGTCTCCCATGCTTTTTAACATCTACGTGAAACCGCTGGGAGAGGTCATCCGGAGTTTTGGAGTTAGGTGCCACCTCTACGCAGATGACACACAACTCTACTACTCATTTCCACCTAACTCCAAGGAGGCCCCTCGGGTGCTGGACGGGTGCTTGGCCGCTGTGTCTATCTGGATGAGGAGGAACAAGCTGAAGATCAATCCCGACAAGACAGAGGTCCTCCTGGTCGATCGTAAACCGGATCGGGGTATAGGGTGGCAACCTGCGCTGGACGGGGTTACACTCCCCCTGAAGTCACAGGTCTGCAGGTTGGGAGTCCTCTTGGATTCATCACTTAGGCTTGAGGCTCAGGCGTCGGCAGTGTCCAGGAGGGCTTTTGCACAATTGAGACTCATGCGCCAACTGCGATCGTACCTCGTAAAGGCTGATCTGGCCGGGGTGGTCCATGTCCTTGTTGATTATTTTGGGGCCCAACTTAAGCAACAACAGCAGGACCCAGCAGGGTGGGAGAGACCAGCGGCAGT